AAAATATTTTTTTACATCTCGACTGTTGGGTTTTGGGAAATAATTTGAAATCACGTGGATCGGCGTCAAAGGACGGACGCACGTCTTAGGCAAGACGAGTAAAAGTGAAATCTTCGTTCAGTCTTTAGTATGTTTTAACACTCAATTTCGAGACAAAGGATAGTTTGAACCCAGTGACTGAGAGAAATAATGACTACGATTACGGGCCTCGCATCTGCAGCGTCATATTCCTATCAAATAATTTGCCGGGATCAATGTCAGTAGCTGAGCAGCCGCGCACCAACTCCTTTCCTAAACCAACAACAATCAACTGGTTAAGGTTTATGTTGAGTTAAGGGAGGAGAAGGGGCGCAATTGCTCAGATACTGACATTGATCTTAAAGTTTAAGCGTCTCCTTCGCCTGTTTTATGAGTTTTATTTAGTTGAAAGATAACAGGAGATATCACATTTCAATAATTTCGTATTTTAGGTCCTGTTTGCGCAGGCGTTGTTGGCTTGAAAATGCCTCGTTATTGTCTGTTTGGCGATACAGTAAACACTGCCTCCAGAATGGAATCAAGTGGAGAAGGTGCGTGATCAATCTATGTTTTCACACGAGATATCAATACATTTTCAAATAGACGGGCAATGAGAACGTGTCAAAAATATCACCAAGAGCAATGTCTTCAAACTTCTAATATAAACTTCCTTCACGGGATCTGCAAAATTGACTTTCTTTTCCGGAGTTGACATTAAAATTGCACATGTAACGAAAGAGCGTTGCGTTGCGTTGCGTGGATTGCACTAGCTTGTCTTTACTTCTCGCTCTGATTGGTCAAGAAAATTCTCTCAACCAATCTAATGCAAGACTAACACCGATCGCAAATGATTGGTCACTCGTGTTTACCCGCGCTTTATGCCGGTTGCTTTGGCTTTATGCCACGTATCTATTTTTAGCTTTACCACTTTGACCCCTTGCGATGATTTTCTTCGTTCTGATTAGCTGACGTGATTACTTAGGTTTTAGTGTCACGACACTCGGTCGAATTGCACTTCGATTCAGAGTCTGGTTCCTCGGTACTAATTTCGTAATTTAATTTTGTGTACATATTAGCTTTAAAAATCCACATCAGCGCAGCCACCAAGGTGTTCTTAGAGACATGTGGAGGTTATAACATGAGAGAACGAGGATCGATTGAAGTCAAGGTTTGCGGGCTCAATTTATTATTTTACTGAGATCAAACTGTGAAATTTATTACTCCATGAAGTGAAGACATGTCATTCTATTTGGTGCCTCTAATTACTCACGAGGGTCTATGATACATCGACTTTGTATGTGAGCGTCTCACCAGAACCCTTGAATCTGAAATAAGAATGAAAATTATAAACTTAGATAGGAAGTAGGTTCTATAGAAAAAGATTTTTATCATTGTCTCTATTTATCTCTGAAAAGGCTCCCTGGTAAATTTGGTCTGAAATACTGAGGTGATGGATAACTTTTGATTCGTGTAGTACGCTGTGGCTATTAAAAATCATATTTTTCTGGGCTAGATAAAAGTTAGAAATCTGAGCAATGGTCTTCCCCATCTCACTGCGTTTTGGGTGAATATCCCCCCTCTATGAGAGAGAGAGAATGCTTCAACTTATTTCATGGCTTATATCATTTGCGACCCGTCATCCAAGAAAAGTATTCCTGATTGACGTGTGAAATTATCAATGTTCCCTCTTTAATACCTGCTCGAATTCCGTTCTTTTCTCGGTGTATTATCTTATCTGTAGGGTAAAGGAAAATTGGTGACATATTGGTTAAACGGAAGAGTCAGTCACGCGCCTTCATCAGAAGTTGTTTCAAGATCACGATCAAGAACTGGTGCATTCTCTTCTTCTGCAATAGAAGTGGAGCTGACCGAACACCTGACCCGTGAAAAGTTGGGTCTGATACGTGAAGGTCTTAATTAGAATATGCAACGCGCTAATGAAGTTAACTCTGCTTAGCGATAACTTTATCAAACAAAGAAAAAAGCTTAAATGCCTCTCTCTTCATTTGCAAGTTCCACAAGATCAATGCAACTGGAAAAACTTCGAGTGTAATGCAACAACTAGTTTGGGACACTATAACAGCCCATTGCTATTCCAGGTGCATGGAATACTGGGTCACGTATTTTACTTGTCCTTTTACACAGCCCTCACGAACGACATCGAGCCGACAAAAATAGATTTGCTGCTTTTTTAAATTACCTATATTGCCTCATCTGCCTTAGCTAAGTTTCCACAATCTGAATTTTTTGATTTACATAAAAAAAAAACATCTCAACCTTTCCAGTTGGGATTTTGAGCTCATTTTACTCTAATTAGGTTCCAACAACAGCAAAAACTGAAATACATTTTTTTTCGCAAAATTTTTGATTTAACCTCAAACTCTCCTAAGTAAGTCACAAGGCCTGTATAACATTTAAAAGGAGAAAAATGCAATTTAGACTAATCAGGTCTTAGGACTTTAAAGGCTAACTACGTATTTACACTTACCAATTCAAGGCAAAGGGGGGTTTTCAATTGAGTGTCGAAAAAACCCAAAAAAAAGTTAATTACAATTACCATTCGGAAAAAAAAAGGTTAATATCATCATTGACCGATGAGAACTTAAATTAAAAACTTTGCAGCCTGCTGAAAGTGCGGGAAAACGCGACTGACTAAGTTGGGATTTGAATTTTTTGTTTGAATTTGATTGGTTGAGATGGTGGCACGAGTTTTCTTGACCAATCATAGAGCGAAGTAAGGCAAAACCGAACGAACCCCGGATCACTCTCTATTTATATACAGCAAAGCAACTCATCAAAAAAGTTCATTTTTCCTCTGTAAGTATATTTATGTTATGCCTTTGATACCTAAGAACCCAAATATAAGTTGTTACTTAACGCTACCTTTTAAGGTTAATTAAAATGTAATATAATGTACCTTACTATTCAAGTTATGTTAGCCACTTTTATGCATCTGCTTCCATATTAGAGTTGTCATTGGCTTAACGTGAAACTTTTCAAGCATCAATTTCCCCATTTATTTACCTAAACTTCCAGAAGTTTGATGTTTTTTATACATATATAAATATATATAAATCGGCTAATAGACTTTGGTTTTTGACAAATGCAATATAGAGGTCTACCAAACACCGACATGAACATAATAAACATTGAACCACTAGTTTAGGTCAGTGTGAGTTTTTGTTACCTGTTTTCCTCAAATGAAAGATGATCTAAAGATCTTTCTGTGCTATCCTTTCGTTATTCTTGCTATTTCCTACAGAAAAATTTTAATCCGAAGGACGCATTGCTCTCCTCTGTTTCGTAAATTTATATACAGAGATTAAACTGACATTTCGAAATTTATCTTTGTCTTAGGATGTGTCTCTTGGAAAATCTATTTACACTCCTTTTTATCTAATGTTAATACATGATTTATAAAGCGCTTTCATTAGATTATCAGATGTCCCAGAGAGCTTTTTATAAGGACTGGGATTTTAAGCAAAGTTAAAGGAAAGAATTCTGTGGACATTGAAATTAGTGAAAAACCTCTCACTTATTTTTTTATTTTTTCAAGAGATGGCAAATTATTACGCAACCGAGACGTAAAAATAGAAAAATTAGCGATTGTCATGAATGCGAAGGTTTTAGATTTTTTTTTTTAGGAAAAGATTCATCAGCTGTCGTTATCTAAAAAATCAGAATCGGCTTTGAATAAACTTTCACTTCAGTAATCTTTTTTTCGCGATTCTTTATGAAATAAATTTTTTATTCCCCTGCGAAAGTCCCTACTTGCAATTGAATAGATAACAGGATTGGCCGCAGAGTTCAGCATGACAAACACCGATATTGCGTACAGCAGGTTTTGATAATAATCTTGTTTCCCCATTGCAGGCCAAAACACAATGGTTAGTCTGAAGACGTTGAGAGGAAGCATTGTAACTGCAAACACCAAAACCATCGGTGTGAGAATTTTCTTTGCCCTCCTGTTTTGACGCAGGCGCACATTTTTTGTTGAAGAGACACAGCACCTGTCTTCCAATGCTCCATTACCATGTGTTATATTTTTGATAAATGCATTACTTCGTTGAATTATACGCGAGATCGCCAAATAAGTCCATGAAATCACAGCTAGAGGTAACAAATATGAGAAAACTGTCAGCAAAATCATGTACGCTTGTGCAAACAACCGCTGTGGCCAGCGAGGACCACACCATCTCCCGGTTGTTCTCTGATATTCCACGACAAAGTAAAGTGGTAAAGAAGGTGCCAGAAAAGAAACAATCCATACACAGGCAACAACATACTTGGCCCTCTTCAGCAAAGTCCTGCGTTTGTTGGGACTATAAATCCGCGGTGTTATTATCTGTCGATATCGGTCGAAGGCAATAACAGCAATACACCAAACCGATGCCCCGTGAAAAATTTCGGGAATGGGATATAAATAAAGGCAAGCAAACTTCCCAAAAGGCCAGTTATACGGCAATCTTTCTTTGATAGCCATGAGCGGAGTTGACAGCAAGAAGATTCCAAGGTCTGCAATAGAAAGATTTTGTACAAATATATCCGTTGTTGACTTTTTCCTTTTCATTTCTCGAATGACGGTGAAAACCAATACATTACCGAAAGTTCCCAGCAAACCAACGACCAGCTGAAAACCTATTTGTAACTTTGTGATGAAAGGTGAACTCAAATCTTCATCCGAGTCATTGGAACTGGATGAGTTCCATAACCATGTTGAGTTGTCGCAACTTCCGATATTTACCGTGCAGTTTTCTTTAAACTCATCGACTGGCATTTCTAGGTCTCTTTGTTTTTTTAACTAAAATTCTTTCTTCGATGTATCGTTCTTCACGCGCGCGTTTGACCTCTGTCTAATTCTTGTTACTAAGAAAGCGATAAAGCCAATGGCGAGTTTCGCAATTTTCAATTAGAAAAACCGCGGTTTCACCTAATAAATTCAGCACGATATCGACAGATCTCCCAGGATTAAGACTTCTTACGACCTCAAAACCTCCTTAATACCACTCCGACGTTTCCTACCGTTTTACTGTTTCAACTTTCATTTTAATGACTTTCTTGATTCAAACCCCTGCTGTGCATGCGATAAACAGACGGAGTCAAATGTAGCTTTAGGCCGTAATTTAAAATCATCTCAAAACTAAAAACCGCTCAAAGCTCTTGGTACCATTCAATTCCAATATTTTAGTGTAAGTGTTCGCCCACCACTATACAAACAATGAGCATGCATTGAAGTGTCGAAAAATAATAACGGCTGATGCTGACATACACCCTACTTTGTAGCTCTGTCAGTTTGTTGATTTAAAGCCGTTCTTTCTACATTATAAAATTAATTGTAAGTTTGTTTGAAAGAAATAATAAAAGGCTCATTTTTTTTTAGGAAAGACAAGCCTTAAAATCCAGTTTGTGTAATTCATCGGCTTCTTGTCAATGACTAAAAAAAATTGTTGAAATGAAATATTCACGTAAACAATCGTATTAAAGAGTAGATCGGTCTCACTTTTTGCACAATTCCCTTCATCAATACTGAATCATTTAGTCTGCTCTGTTCGTATTAAGATATTTGACAAACTCAACAACATGAAATAAACTGCACCTTAGTTGTACTATCCGAAAAAAAATCTCTGATTTCTCTTCGTATTCTAAATAATCATCTTGAACACGAGCTTGTAAAAGCTGATTGAAGCTTGACCATGAAAACACTAAATACAATACCCAAAAAATTTTCGATTTTTGACCGCACTTGAAAGAATGGCGGCTAAAAATACAGATAGATGAGAGTCACTAAACGTTTAAAATACATCAAACAATTATTAAGGCACCATCTCTTGAAAATGGCCTGTCTTTATTTGGTTTTTGCCTGCGTGTGGGTGTTTCATCACGTGTTGTTTCACCCAGGGAAAAAGTAAATAAAGTTAGAAAACGAAAAAACGACATTTCAATGGTTTATTTGCAAATTCAAACGTCTCGATGAAGGTAAATACTTCCAGACCCTTATTCCTGCCGTGGTATTTTAAGTCGTGCAAGGTTTGTGTACTCGAAGAATATTTCCTTCTCTAACGAATTTTCAAATTTTCGGTCTTCAGTGTGGAAAAGCGCCCGGTTATAGTCAAGACAATAGTCTCTCAGCTTTCATCTAAATGAAAGCCTGAGAAACTGACAGCTGAGCTCATGCCACGCATAAGTTTATAACCCAAAATGTCCACTTTCATATTTTAGTCCTGAGAAAATTGAACGGCGCTTTCACAAGATAGTTAATTATTGCAACGCATCGTCTCCCGCTAAAAAAGGCTGTTTCTGATGTCGTTCCTGCGGGGAGAATTCGTGACAAATCCCCGAGAAAGGTTTTTTTCGTTAAAATTATTCAAAAGAATCATGTGAATATGTTAGAAGCCCATGCTGTTTGACTTCCAAAATATACAAACTAATTGGCACTTGTCAAAAGTCTAATTTCAGTTTTTAACTCTATTTATTTCGCGGGAAACTTCGCTTGTGAAAGCGCATTTTGACAAACCCAATATGGAATGCGAAGGCTCCGAGTAAATCTTCATTTATTTGTGACGGCAGTATGTTGTGCATATAGACGACAGATATTCAGTGAAAATAAAGCTTGTCTAACTGATGGAGAATTCTTTTCCTCACTTTTATATTTAATTTACGCTATTTAAAAAATGATCAAACATTTGATTTACATATGCCTCTCGTACAGTAGTCAAACTCGTGATGTCAATAATTGATGATTATAAATATATTTCGGCAATTATTTGTTTAGCAAAAATTTCTTTGACTCACGCCATTCAAACTAGAAGTATGTAGTAGTACTGCCTTCAAAGCAATGTGATAATTAGAAATACAGAGAGAGCCGGCCTTTCACTTCTGCGGTGTGAGTCCTGCTGGGAAACTCGCCAAGGGATGACTACTTCGGGCAATGCGGGGGTGATTGATTCTTTTTATTATTTTTTACCATTCACGATTTAATTAAATTGAGTTAATGAAATACTCTCGAGGTATTCATGCTGTACAACAAATTCTTGTTTACGTTTCTTTCACTCTGAGTGTGGCTGACTCTTGAAGACAGTTACAAAGTCGTGTGATATTGAAACTGTGAATCGACTCGCTCAACAACTAACCGCGTTCTGTGACTTTCAAGTCGACGAAAAAGAACCTTTCAAAAAGGTATGGAAATCGCTATAAACAATTTTTTTGTAACATCTGAGGTTGAAGAGGATGAATGTTCCACTGATATTTTTATTAGTTCAAGGAGGAATCCATCGCTTAGAATAGCTGCACTTTCACGCATATCAATAAGATGTTCAAAAAAATAATCCACACTTTTTTAATGAACATTACACTTTACAACCAGAATTCACCAAGAGAAAGAATCCCGTTATTTTCTATTGAATTCATTAGTGCGTAGCGTCTAATTTGAAAAAAATTTTCATTGAAAACTTCTTAAAGCTAAGGGTTGTCGTGATACTTTGATTCAGAGAGAAATATCGAAACAATCACCAAAAAGATTGGAATACCGACTCGTCCCCAGTCTTCACTAATTTTCCTACCCGGTCGTGTGAGCGCGAAAGGGAAGCTTTACTAAGCTGAAGCACTCATTTTTTCACGTGGACAACTCTTTCGCGCTTCCCTCGTATAATACTTTAAAGTAGAGAGACGACTGCGAAGGAATCAGTTAGGCATACAACTCGAACAAGAATGGTTAAGAATGGAAAAGACTAACTCGGACTGCAAATAACGAACTTGAAATCCGCCGAACAAAGCCTCTTTTGATTTAAAAATCTTGAATCAAGGGCAGGGATTTTTTTTAGAAAGGAATGATATCACACCTAAAAAAAAGGAAGAGAGGGGGGATGGGAGGCTGAGGATTCTTGTTTTAAAAAGCCTATGAATCCCTGTGTGGGCCATCTCATTGTGTGGGCCGTCTCATTGTGAAGGCCCGTTGTGATCCTAGGTTACAACTGGTAACTAATCTCATCTAAAGTCTTCTTTTGTGTAAAAGGAATTTTAATAGTACTTTCAAGAAGTTTGAAGATATTCAACTGACTAAAACAAGAGTCCCTCTAATATATGGCATCTTCAGCACCAAACCAGGGAATTCTGAGAACAGAGCTTTATTTATAAGGTTAGGCCCACTATCCACATTAAAACAGCCTGATTGAGCTGCTTCCCAAAACGCCGACGTCACCCCTTTTTTTTTTCGTTACTACGAGATCCTATCAAGTGTTTCTAACACGGGTGACTATTGCCTTTCTAGAGTTATTCAGCGTACGTTCTGTAAACGCGAAACATGTTGAAGGCGGGTAGGAAACGAGAGTTGCGTTCATAGTAAACAGTCCGTTTTGAAATCTTGCTTGCTGTCATAATGAAAACGAAATGATGGACAGAGAAAGGGTGTCTGGATAGCATTGCATGAGGTGGAATAGCGTGCAATTTTAATCCTGTTATGTTCTAAATTTGATCCGAAGACCAAGGCAATATTTGGAATGTTCGTGTCTGGATAAGACTGCAGCACCTTACTGATTGTCTTTAAAAATATCATCTTTCTCAAAGACCAACATCAAGTAAGTAAGTTCCCTGGTTCAGTATTAAATATGTGTTTTTTCAAGAGCACTCGCGATACTCGCATCAAACATCATATGATTCTCCCTATTTGCGATAGTATCTAAAATATTTATACCAGTGTTGTTCATGAAGGAGCTGAGCTCATTTTAGTCCCATAATTTCCAACATTTTATGATCGAACCGTTTGATTTCACCCTGATGTCTTCAGAATAGGCATACGGTTAAAAGCACTTTTTCATCCTTTTAATCCTCTGATTCAGTTAAAATCAAATTTGTGGGAAATTAGACGATGGGGGTCGTGTATAGTGTTTGTAAACAAGCCCCTCAAAAGCGCAACCTCTGCCCAAACAAATATCATGAAGAATCGCAACAACTGTCTATTTGATCTTAACTGTCATCACGCTACAATTGCACTGTTTAAGTTAAACCCT